CACAGGTTTGGAGAATGTTTGTCCCTCCAGATGTTGCTGAACTATAACTTTAACTATAACTATAACTTTAACTTTAACTTTAACTATAACTATAACTATAACTATAACTTTCACCATTGTTTCCCCGTTCCTTTGACTTCAGTTACAGACTCCACAAATACACACTGAAACAAGAGCCTTAATGCTATTTCGCAGCAAGCATATGCATGGATGCAGATTTTTGGCTTGGGGTAGATTAGATTTCTTTCTCAGACTGAGGAATTGCCTCCAGCGGGCCAGATTCACAACTGTACTATTTTAGGTTCATTTTGGTGCATAATATTAAAGTTATTTGAATTATTATACTAGTGTAAAATTTTACCAGAGTGAATTATGCCTAAGACGAAACTGGCTTTATGCAATCAGCTTTCCTAAAGTACCATGGGAATTGTATGCTGAGAAGGTCTATTTGCTTTCTTAATATAAACTGCCCCTGAAATTGGCCCTTTGAACCGCCTGATGAAGTTATTCATCAGACAAGGAAAGACAGGTAGCAAAAATGTTACTTCTATTAATCTATCCAGATGTAATAGGGTGCATCAAAAAATGCAAGGCCACAATGTGCCGCTAGTACAAAAGGGAACAGATATCCTAATCATTTTAAAGAGCTTTTATTTACGTTCTGGTTTTCTTTCTTTCTCTCTCCCCCCACTCCCCTGGTTACCATAGCAGCACTTGAAACCCAACTGTGAGAGCTTTTGTTAGCATATGTTGCTACAGTCCAGTCCAAGGCCAAGCAACATGCAGGTTGGCAAATTCAGGGACAGTCACTCACTGCACAAAACAATCTGAGCATTCATCCCATAGAATGTACCACTGTTCATCGACACTCGCCAAACCACCTGCTCTCCCTTAGGTCTAGGTGGCTGTGAAAACGGGGTTGTGCAAACTGGGTTCAGGACACTGTTTTGCAATTCCCTCAAGACAAAAACATTTTTTTTCCCTGCAAAGACAGAAAGTGTAAAGTAGCAGTGATTGCACGCAAGCACACGTGCAGCCAAAGGAGTTTTTCTTTTCTATATAGTATGCAGATCATTTATGTGACTAGCTGAGGGGAGCAGTGAGATTTATTTTTTCAATTAAAAATCGAATCATCAATCATCAGTAGGTGGGGGGTGGATAGAGAGAATAAGAACCAAAAGTATGTGCATATTATTTCAAATAATAATGTCACTTATTGATTGAGATCTTGTCTTATTAGAACAGTGGTATTCCGTTGTTTCACTAAAAACAAGACTACTACACTAGTGACCAAAATTGTGGAAACCTTTTGGGAAAAGTGTATTTCCGAGGTTTGATGGCTCATAACACCTGATTGGCTCTCTAAACACTCATGCTCATTGGCTACATTCAAATGAAGAAAAGCTACTGCATATCAACCTAAGCAAGTTGTGCTTCCTTTTTCTGGTTATTTGACTATAATCTTTGATAGAATACAGATAACTGAACAAACTTTGTTGCATTATATTCTTCACTAAATTATCTTTCCATTGATATATAATTTTATGGTATTACTCCAAAAAAAAAAAAAAAGGTGGTGTTGTGAGCCATCAAACCTCAGAAATGCAGTTTCTCCAAAAGGTTTCCACAATTTTGGTCACTGGTGTAATTCTATTGCATGTTTGGAGTACCTTTGGCCCTCCAGATACTTCTTGGGCTCCAGCTTCGATTAGCCCTAACCTGCATGGCTAATGGTTGGAGTGAAGAAAGTTGTATCTACTTCTAAAGGACCACAGGAAGACCATAAACCCACAGGAATGGGTTTGGTCCATATTTCTTCAGGGTGGCCCACAGTTAATGTTGGCTTACTACAACACACAATAGAAGTGATTACAGATCTTCACTGTTTTCTCTAGCTGGGTCCTAGGACCCAATTCAAGGTGTTTAATCATTAGTATTCAAAGCCCTCAACAACATGGGCTGCACATATCTAAAAGACCACTTCCTTCCCTATAGGTTCCCTCTGGTGGGCTTAGGGTGCTGGTGGTCTGGGAGAAGGCCTTCTTCGCAGCAGCCCCTAAATTGGAGAACTCCCTCCCCAGACAGGTGCATCAGGCAGCTTCATTATATAGCTTCTGGAGAATGCTAAAGTCACAGCTCTTTTCCCTGACTTTTTACTCGTGATGTGCATATTTTTGGGGGACCCAACTTATTTTCGTTATTGTAAATTGTTTTAAACTGTTTTTAATATTGTGTTTTAATGTTGTAACCTGCCCTGGGGTGTTATGGTGAAGGAAGGATTAATAATAATAATAATAATAATAATAATAATAATAATAATACAGTGGTACCTCGGGTTAAGTACTTAATTCGTTCTGGAGGTCCGTTCTTAACCTGAAACTGTTCTTAACCTGAAGCACCACTTTAGCTAATGGGGCCTCCTGCTGCTGCCGCGCCGCCGGAGCCCAATTTCTGTTCTTATCCTGAAGCAAAGTTCTTAACCTGAAGCACTATTTCTGGGTTAGCGGAGTCTGTAACCTGAAGTGTATGTAACCTGAAGCATATGTAACCCAGAGTACCACTGTAATAATAATAATAACAATAGCAACAGCAGCAATTGGAGCAACATTCAACATTTATGTTCTGATCTTATGCCCCAGCTAGTACTGCTCAGTATAGCTGGCATAACAATTCAATCCAAGCTTTTCTGCTGAGATCTTGGCTGCATGCACACAACACCTTTAAAGCACAGCTGAAGCCCGATGTCCCCCCTCAAAGAATTCTGGGCACTGTAGTCCCCTCTCATAGTTACAATTCCCAGTCACCCTACAGTGCCCTGAATTCTTTGAGGGGGACAAGGGGCTTCAAATATGCTTTGAGGGGGATAAGGGGCTTCAATTATGCTCTGAGGGAACAACGAGCTTCAACTATGCTTTGCGGGGGATAACGAGCTTCAATTATGCTTTAAACGTATAGCCCAATTTAGTTTATGACACTACCACAATTGTTATATTCAACCGGTTCAGCAGTCCTTCACTTGATCCTACAGATGATTAGCAACAATCTTTTGCCTCTGCAGACAGGGCTGAATAATAGAACACTGATTCATTTTGAGAATTATGTTTTCTCCACCTGAAGCTGCCGAACTGTAGAAAACAACACGTGAGGTTGAATCAGGCATTAGTGTAACAACAAAGAAGCCATGTTGGGTACATGTAAGCATACAGAGTCCCTCCACCTGCTGAAAAAGTTCCTTCTTGATCTAATCCTACCAAACTAGCGTTCTTGACATTGCTGCTATTATTTTCTGAATGGCCACATGTTGCTACTGGTTCTAAGGTGATCACTTCAAATATGTAGGAGGGTGCACATTAGAAACCATGCTGAGATACCTAATTATCCTCCTGCCTTTGCCAGCAAAGCCGTTATCCCCTACAGAACGCTACAAGATTCTGAAATATAATGTGAAAAAACACATTCACTCTCTGTGTGTTTTGATGATTTTTTGTCTTCTTATAAAGAAGGCAAAAACAAAACACACAGTGAAAAGTATATTTTTTCCTAGATTTATTTCCCCCCACAAATATGATATTCAGACTTAAAGGCTCCAAGACTCTAAAGTGTAAACAACACATGTAAAAGAGTGAAATTGAACTAGAAGTCGCTGAAAGTTCTGTCCCCAAATAAACTTAATTCACAATCAGTTCAACCGGCAGTTATGGCTACTACTTTCAGGTGTTCAGATATTTTTGAATTAGTTCAGTGAACTTTATTGAGCAGCAGTAGTTCATTCCAGGCACTGATATCTACATACAGTGGTACCTCAGGTTAAGTACTTAATTCGTTCTGGAGGTCCGTACTTAACCTGAAACTGTTCTTAACCTGAAGCACCACTTTAGCTAATGGGGCCTCCTGCTGCTGCCGCGCCACCAGAGCACGATTTCTGTTCTCATCCTGAAGCAAAGTTCTTAACCTGAAGCACTATTTCTGGGTTAGCTGAGTCTGTAACCTGAAGCGTATGTAACCCGAGGTACCACTGTATTTTGTTTGCAATCTCTGTCCACATCCTAGGAACTTGTATTTACTGTCCTCATTTGTCATGAGTGCAAACTATTTTAGCCTTTTTTTGTTTTGCTTGCCCAAATACTCATATTTTAAATGAGGCTTTTAAAGGCACTGTTCCCTTGAATATTGTCATAGTTCAGAAAGATACATTGCTTGAACACTAGGAAATCCTTTTTAAAAACTATTCTATACACTATTTTTAAGTCAAACTATCTGCCAACAAATCTAGTACGAAGAGATGTGGAATCTTAGTTGCATAGAATTAAAAGATAGAATCACGGGGGAGATTGCTTGTCCACTGATAGAAAACTGGAGCCTAAGAATACTAGCTGTAAGATAAGATTCGATTGGAATTAAACGGATGTCAGAGATTGAGTTGACTGAGTTAAAATTTAATTTGTGATTCCTGAAGAAGTTTGTTATTCGTGAAATGGTGCCATATCAGAATGTAAAGCATTAAGCAGTCTCAGTGTTATCAAGGTAATTTAGCACAGATCTTTATTCTATCGAGAGGAATTTATTAGTTTTCATAGATCTATCACATGTTATTTGCTTGCCTGCTTAAAGGCATTTTTATCTCAACCTTCAATCACATTCACAGGGCAACTTACAAGAAAGATTTTTTTTAAAATTAAGGGCACATTTTATGGTCTCTTACAGCGCATCCAGAGGCCATAGAATTTTGCAGGTCTCTCTCTTCATGGGGGGAAAAAAGACTTTTTTTGAAATAATTTGACATTTGATATTTCAAAAAACCATTGAAGCATCGAAGTAGTCATTATGGGATAATGAAAACTTGGTTAAGACTTCCATACATTCCACTGCACATTCTTCCCCCATTCTTCTGTTCCCTTTTTTACTACTTATCAGATCCTGTCATGTTACACATGACATACATGTCAACATGCATGTAAGTTTTCTGTGTCATTTCAAACAATAACATTTTTTAAAAATTCATTCCAGTAGCACCTTAGAGGCCAACTATGTTTGTTATTGGTATGAGCTTTCGTGTGCATGCACACTTAACTCATACCAATAACAAACTTAGCTGGTCTCTAAGGTGCTACTGGAAGGATTTTATTTTATTTTTTTGTTTCGACTGCGGCAGACCAACATGGCTACCTACCTGTTACTAATGACATTTTAGTTTATGGTTTAGTATGGATTCTATTTTGAATTACATATGAGGGGCACCATAATCTTTGCAGTGCTTAGTCCCTCTAAAGGTCTTAATCCAGCTCTGTCTGTACCTTTCTCCTCTATAACTATCTCTCCTACACCATGGGGTTTTGATAGTGGAGAGTGAGAAAATGAGGTGTTCTGGAGGCAAATTGGGGGAAGATCAGGGAAGGCTTTGGATTTGTTAGATCTGAAAGGAAGGGTGAGGAGAGAGCTAGGTCAGTCCTAGAACTGGCATAAATATATATATCCTCCCACTGAAACCTTTGGGGTGTCAGGGATTGGACTCAAGAGGGTGAGATGGAAGATCACCTCCCCCCCTTCTCCTGACGCTGGAGGAGAAGAGAGATGCAGTGTTGATTTACAGCAAGGCTTTGAGGAGTTTGAGGGAAGTCACAGCTCAGACATAGACAAATAAAGAGTTGGGGGGGGGCAGAATTGCAACAGGACAGCCAGCTGACATGTTGTCACTGGAGAGTATTTCAGACCCCCCCATCTCCCAGAACTTGGCGTTCATTAAGGGTGCAGGAACAACGGAATCAGAGATTCTTGGCCACAAACAGCCACTGCTAGTAATGTAGGAGGTGGAGCCCAGTTTGGACCTACACCATGTTCAGGCTTGTTGCGTTCTTTGGTCTCTCGCTGTTAGGATTGAATAAAACTAATTAAAAAGGAATCTCCTTGTTTTTTATGCAACTGGGGGAGGAATAGCTTTCTTGAAGCCTTGGCAGAGCCTTGACATGGGGAGAAAACATTAAAAAAAAAAAAAATTGAAGAAAGGGAATGGGAAAATACAAAATACCCTGCCCACCACTAAGGGATAGGGAGAAAATTCAGTACAGTTTACATAATATAATTTACATTTCCAAAACCACTGGAAGGTAGCTAGCCTTTGAAATCTGCACTTTGCTTAATGCGGTGATGCAGTTCCATGTATGTGTGTGTGTATTTTAGGCAAAAGGGGGGTGTGCATGCATGCGTGTAAATAGCATACAAAAATGCATAATATATGAGGAAACTGAAAAAATGTATTTGCAAAATTGCATAGAAAAATACGTACGTATACAGTGGTACAGTGGTGCCTCGCAAGACGAAATTAATTCGTTCCCGCGAGTTTTTTCGTCTAGCGAATTTTTCGTCTTGCGAAGCACGAAATCCCATAGGAATGCATTGAAATTCAATTAATGCGTTCCTATGGTCAAAAAAAGTCCAAACAAAGCCAAATTTGGTACAACAAGAGTTTATTAAGTGCTCTTTAAAGTCACACATACTGTAAAGAGCATTTCAAAAATTGAAGGAACAATAAATTAAGTTTCTAAACATGACAGAAAAACATTTAAAAATCAACAAAGTGTACAGTACATTTTCTAAGACTCTGGGGGACAACTCGAAGAAGGTTCCTCTTCCACTCTTTGCTTCTTGCTGAAGAACCTGTCCATGGTCTGCTGCTTCATCCGCCTTTTCAGCACCTCCCTGAAAGGCGACATGACCCTCGTATCAAAAGTGTTCGCAAGGTCATGTGCCACGTGCTTGTCAGGGTGGTGCCGCTGTGCAAAAGCCTGCACATCCTTCCACTTCAGGCAAATGTCCCTCAGTTCTTTGGAGGACAGCCGTTCCTCAGTTGCTTCCTCCTCTTCCAGCGAGGCCTGCTCCTGCGCAGCCTCTGCCTGCAGTTCGACCAGCTCCTGGGTGGTCAGCTCGTGGTTGTGCTCCTCCACCAGCTCGCAGACGTCCTCCTCTGTGACCTCCAGGCCCATGGTCCTCCCCAAGGCAACAATGTCCTGCACCACTGTTGACTCTGGTGCATCAGAATCACTTGGTGCCACACAGTCCGGCCACAGGCTGCGCCAAGCGCAATTCAAATTTCTCTGGCTGATCCTGTTCCAGGCCGTGGTGATCATCTTCAAGCAGGTGACGATGTCGAAGTGGTCCTTCCAGAATTCCCGCAGGGTGATGGTGGTGCAATCAGTCACCTCGAAGCATCGCCTGAAAAGCTCCTTGGTGTAGAGTTTTTTGAAATTGGCGATGACCTGCTGATCCATCGGCTGGAGCAGTGGCATGGTGTTAGGAGGCAGGAACATGATGCTGATGAAGCTGAACTCCTCCAACAAGTCCTCCTCAAGGCCTTTAAGATGAGCAGGAGCATTGTCCATCAGAAGCAAAGCCTTCAGCGGCAGGTCGTTGTCCAGCAGGTACTGTTTGACAGCAGGGCCAAAAGCAAGATTGACCCAGTCCACAAACAGCACACGTGTGACCCAAGCCTTACTGTTGGATCGCCACATGACACTCAGCTGCTCCTTGTCGACCTTGTGTTTCTTGAAGGCCCGTGGGTTCTCCGAGTGGTACACCAGCAGGGGCTTGATCTTCAGGTCGCCGCTTGCGTTGGCACAGAAGAGCAGGGTCAGACGGTCCTTCATGGGCTTGTGGCCAGGCAACTTGGCCTCCTCCTGTGTGATGAAAGTCCTTTTGGGCATCCTCTTCCAAAACAGCCCGGTCTCGTCGCAGTTGAAGACCTGCTGTGGAACGTAGCCCTCCGTCTTCACAACCTCCAGGAACTCCACTGCAAAGTCTTCAGCTGCAGAAACATCAGAACTGGCAGCCTTTCCATGCCTGAGCACGCTGTGGATTCCAGATCTTGTCTTGAACCGGTCAAACCAGCCTCTGCTTGCCTTGAAGACTTCTGGCTCGCCTGAGGTTCCTGGCTGTTCCCGGACGAGGTCTGCGTGCAAGGCCTTGGCCTTCTCACAAATGACGGCCTCAGTCACTGTGTGCCTTGCACGCTGCTTCTCTTCTAACCAGATGAGCAGCAACTTCTCCACCTCCTCCAGAACAGCTGGGCGGTTCTTCACGATCCTGGTGACTCCCTTGGCTGCATCAGTCGCAAGGATCTTCTCCCTCATCTTCAGGATGGTCCCGATGGTCGATGGATTCCTCCCGTACTCCCTGGCGAGGTCTGTCACACGCATTCCACCGTCGTGCTTCCGGATGATCTCCTTCTTCATTTCCAGCATAACCTTCTCCTTCTTCCCCTCGCCAGCCTCTGCAGCAGCAGTCTTCTTGGGTCCCATGGCAGCACAGCTCCTACCTGCGCAACCCCCCCCCCCAAAAAAAATCAGTGCTTCACATCCAAAAAATTCAAAAGCACCCAGCCAGCCACCCACCACACAGAAATTCAAACCCAGAATTTTTTTTTAAAAAAAACAGCAGAGTGGCCCAATGGTCACAGAAAATCATAAAAATGCAGAAAAAAAACCACACAAGCTTCCAGATTCTTGCAAACCCCTCCCCAACTGTTCCCCCAGCCACCCACCAAACAGAAATTCAAATCCAGAATTTTTTTTAAAAAAACAGCAGAGTGGCCCAATGGTCACAAAAAATCATAAAAATGCAGAAAAAAACACACAAGCTTCCAGATTCTTGCAAACCCCTCCCCAACACCAAGTCCTTGAATTCCAAACACCCCAACCCAAAATCCAAACCCCCCCCAAAAAGTTTTAAAAGTTTAACTTACCAAATGGCTGCAAAAGAAGTTTTGGAAAAGCTTCAAAAATCACCAAAGTCTTCAAAAACCTCAAAAAGGCTACCACACCATGTGCTATGAGTTGCTCCTCGAAGTCAAGTCGCAACTGCACCTCTTCAAGCAATGCACCCTGGGTATTAACGGTTTTACGAAAAGGAAACAAACTTGCAAGACGTTTTCGTCTTGCGAAGCAAGCCCATAGGGAAATTCGTCTTGCGAAGCACCTCAAAAAACGAAAAACCCTTTCGTCTAGCGAGTTTTTCGTCTTGCGAGGCATTCGTCTTGCGGGGCACCACTGTACCTCGGTTTACAAACTTAATCCATTCTGGAAGTCCGTTCTTAAACCGAAACCATTCTTAAACCAAGGCACGCTTTCCCTAATGAGGCCTCCCACTGCCAGTGCCCTTCCACCATTTGGATTCCATTCTTAGACCGAGGTAAAGTTCACAAACCGGGATACTACTTCTGGTTTTGTGGAGTTCGTAAACCAAATCGTTCGTAAACAGGACTGTTCTTAAACCAAGGTACCACTGTATTAAGACAAATGCTAATATAATTTTGTGAGATTTTTTTTTAAAAAAATCAGAAACTGATGTGGAAATGTAATGAACTGTACATTGGGAAAATGAGGAACTGAGAGAAATCTAAACTAACAAATTTGTTTATCTCTATACGCCACCTTTTGCCTTGTTGATGTGAGCTTGGCAGGTCTTTGGATTTGGCATCTTGGGTCTTTTTTCCTCCTTTGCCTTTTTGGATTCCTCTGTAAAATATAGATTCCACTCCACAAAAGCCCATAATAAATTAAAATGCCACAAAATCACAAAGCAGCATAAAACAGTCATCAAGATTGTTGTTACCGTGATCCTTTTTAATTAACATTATATGACTGCCTATTAAAGAACTGTTCTAAGACTTGATTATATGAAGTCCAGGTGGCTTACAAAATAATAGGAAATATCATATGATATTTAAAAATACAAAATACAATCAGATTAAAATTGTACTTCCAAAGCTTAGGAATTTTTTTAAAAAATGTTGCAAAAGCAAGCTACAGTGGTACCTCCGGTTACGAACGGGATCTGTTCCAGAGGCTCGGCTGCATCCCAAAAATTTCATAACCGGAGGCGCCCTTCTGCACATGCACACGGCATGATTGAGCGCTTCTGTGCGCAGAGCATTTCTGCGCATGCACATGCGTGGAAACCCAAAAGTATATACTTCTGAGGTTGCCGTGTTTGCAACCCAAGGATTACATTACCCAAGCGTAACACAAGGGTCCACTGTACTGGGTAAAGTATTTTGGGTAAGAGTGTTCTGTTACTTTGTCACCAATGGCCCTCTCTGCTAGTCACCTGCATCACCTCAGATGTC